TACAACAAACCTTAATAAGAGGTTATTTTATTTTTTAAGAATACCAAGAGTTTAAACAGCGATACATTCTTGTTTTTACAAAGGAAATTAACCTTAAATTTGGAAAAAGTGAAAAGGACATATGATGACATTTTAGACTAATGACAGTCTTGTTTTGATGTAATGCTGTCCTCACAATCTTTGATGTGGGAAGCTTTCTTTAGTGGGGATAATTTTTTCTGTGATTTTTTTTTTATCAGTGAAGTAATTCACTTAGATAGAAGGAAAAAAAAAGGAGCTTATCATTTTCTTATGCACATTGAGACACAATCCATACTGTCATCAAACATTGTATGTCCTTGTTTACTTAACCTCCACAGACCTCCTTTCAACAAAGATTTCAACAAACTATATTGTGAAAAAAATGTTTCATTTTACAAGGCACTCTGAGAATTACTGAAAACGAGAAGACACAATTCCAGTCCTCAAGGAGTTTATAATCAAGCCAGAAGGACAGGTGTAGAAATGTGTGTGAAGCCAGGCAGAGGAACGCAGATTGTCACTAAAACAGCACACACTGTGCTGTACAGGAGCAGGGCGGGGAGGGCCTGTATGGAAGGAGGGAGGCAGGAAAGGAGTCATGTTAACCATAACACCTAAATACCCTTGACTGACTGGCAGAATTTCAATGGCCATTTCATGTTTCAGCTGGAGGCAGACACGCTCATTCTGTAGTTACAAGCCATTGGATCTGGTTATGGTAAAATGTACATTTAAGGGAACTGATAAGAGCAGATTGGGGTGACACAGTTAGGACTTTGAATCCAGGGAAAGGATTTAATTCATCATGAAATAAGAAACCTTGTGTTCTCAGCAGAGGGGCTTACTCTCCATCGATGTTTTCAGAGATAAACCTCTAACTTCACACATAATTAACTACAATGTCCTTCCCAGAACTAAGGTCTATAATGATTTGAAAGTATGATCATTTAGACTGACAAAAATTTGGTGTATTTTGCCTACTGAGATTTTACCCTAATGTTTCCGCATGTCAAGATGGTTTCCCACTTTGAATTCTCTTGGTATGTTATATCTACCTTGCTTATAACACTGTATATTCTCTTCACATTAAAATTACACACATGAGCATGTGTTCTTATCAAATATTTAGTACTGAGAGGTGGGACCACATTAAACACATCTCTTTATACTCAATAGTGTTTAGCTTAAAAGGCATTTGAAACCAGGTGTGGTGGTGCATATCTTTAATCCCAGCACTTGGGAGGCAGAGATAGGTGAATCTCTATGAGTTTGAGGCCAGCCTCCTCTGCATAGCGAGTTCCAGGTCAGCTGGGGCTACAGGGAGACCCTGTCTCAAAAAGACAGAAAAAAAACCCAAAAACAAAAAAGAAAAGGGATTTGAAAATCCATGTTGAATGAATAGATGGTTTAGTTAATGTCTGTGTCCTAGTGAAATCACTAGACTCAGTTTAATGGATTAAATTTCATATTTATTTTATCTGTAATATTCTTACTGGAAATGGCTTAGAAAATACAGTATTTACAGGGCAGCTTTATTAATAGACCCAAGATAGAACAACATATGATACCATGTTTATTATATTTTATTACACTAAGGTTACTTATACACTGTAGAAACTTTATAAGTTTAGCTAAGCTAAAGGAAGAACTCAAGATCCCCATAATCCCAAGTCAGAAAAAAACATAGTTACTCTTTTAGAGGAATTTACAATGCTGTCAACATCCCCTTCCCTTTTTTTTTTTTTATTTTTAATGCCCATGGCTAAGTTGACCTTTAGAAAGCCTGAACCATTTCATACTTCTAGAGCTGTTGAGAATGATCATTGCTTCCACCAACACCACATGTAATCCTAATATTAATCTATGAAAAATAGATGGAGGAAATGGTTCTTTTCTAATTATCTGTTTCTTTGCATGCTAATAAAATTGAATATTTTATTGTGACTTTACTAACCATTCATATTTTCGTGTAAATTCTCTCTCAATTTTTCTTGTGCCTCTTTTTATACTAGGGCATTTAGCTCTCTTTCTTAAACTGTTTTTTGAGAACTGAACGCATGTTACTAAGCTGTCTTTCCAGCCAGTCATTTGTCTTTTATCATATTTCCTTTCAGTGTCACTGATCCTAGGAAGAGGGGCTAACAGACCAAGAGAAAGTGACATCTGCGATCCCCTCCTCCTCTCATTTCTAAACCGAGTACATATCCTGAGCTAGAATGTCTTCCAGGAAAGGAAGCAAAGAGAAAAGCACACACTGGAATATTAATTTCTCCTTGAAGAGAATTTTCAGAAACAGTGGCAAAACTAGAAATCGGCATTAAAAGATGCCTTAGCCTACTCTGGAAACTAGAAAGAAGTTAGAATTAATAAGGATAAGAACAACATACCATAAGAGTGGCCTAGGAGAGAACACAATGGATGTGCATAGGAACAGTGAAAAGTCAGATTTGGTAATTACAGTTAACAGTAACGTCTGTTCATCCACTATGGATGCATTGAAGAATTTCCATTGGACATGTATGGAAGTCATGTATGGCTGTGCCCTGTAAACTCAATAAAGAATGAACACTTTTATGGTTTGGTAACTAAGAAATTAGCTGGGGGCAATGCTGAAATTCTTCTTGGGAAAATGGAAACTGTGAAGGAGAAAAGCAAAAGAAATAACAAAAGGGAAAAGAAACGGAACGCAGCTGGGAGTAGAGATGCAGAAAACAGAAGAAAAGGGAAGAAACAGGCATAAAATGGAAGAGGTTGACAGGGAAGGCTTAAAGCAAGCGCATACAAATGTAATATACTCAAACTATCAACACAGGCTATAATGTTATCTTAAATTGTTGAATTTCTATATGTGGCATTACAAATATGAAACTTTCAAAATGCTTTAAGTGGAGTTTATCTCCTAGATATCATAAACTAGTTAACTGTTTCTTCCATGAAGCACGAATGTTTAAAGTTTGTGTTCTTAAACCTTTAAAAAATTTTAAACACACACACACACACACACACACACAGCTAAACTGACAGTTAAAAGTGTTAGAAGCTGTCTATTGGACTTTTGAGTCTTGTCTGATTTGTCCGTTATTTTCAGATATTTTTTTTGCCAGCAGCAGCTTCAGAAGCAAGGGTATCATTTATAATTGTATTTGACTCAGATAATTACAATGTGTTTTGTTAATGGTCTTTCTACCTGAAGTCACTTAAGAAATTTAACATTAAGAATTTGATAAAAGACCAAAATCTAGGAACATAATAGTTTGGAATGGCAAAACTATCCCAGATTCAAACCCTTTCCTAAAAGGAAAAGGAGAAATCTTTATTGATCTGGAAACTTTGGTGTATGTAGAACATAGAGAACAACAGATAAATAATAATTTTATATTCTATTTGTTTATTTCTCACTCTTCAAAATTTTGTTGGCTCAGTGTTGTGAATAACAGAAGGACATGGAAACAGAAATGTGTTTAGCTCTTTCATAAATACTTTAAGGATTATGAAATGATTGAAGTGTTTGTGAAAAATGGAGTAAGCTGTATTTTACAGAATGTCAATTAGTTGAATGCAACTACATTAATACTGTCAGAAAAATAAAGCTTTATGTATATAGAGAGTATAAAAGTATATTTGTTTAATGAGAAAATAAATTGAATAGGGATACTTGAATAAATAGAAATAATCACCAAAAGTCTAGTGAAGGCTTGTGAATCATGTTTTTAAATGCCATCCCCGCTGCATGACTCATGTGATATCTGCCCTCCTTGGCCTCTTTCCACAGTCAACCAAAAATTAGTGATGGAAATCATATGAGAAGGAAACGCATTAGGTGGCTTGAAATTCTGACACAAAAGCATGGTTCACAGCACTGAGTACAAACTCCCAAACTGCAGGTGTTTTCATTAGGATGAAACATATAAGACCCACCAGTTGACACTGTAATAGTTTTCCTCCAATGAGATGGAAATGAGATATCTTTCACATTTTTTAATAATACTTCAATTTTTGTCAGCCTGATTTTTATACATTCCCTGATTTGTTGACTCTGAAACAGGACGTTTATTTCTGCAGTTGTAAGATAATGCTTTGGCTTAATGAGTTTCACTATTATGGATCAATATATATTTTTCATCCCCAACTGTGGCATCACAGAACTAAAATCATTAAACACTAATTCCTGGCTTAGTTTTCTGAATTCTAGAATTTTAAAAATTCACACCTACATACACTAACTATATGAATATAAATATAGGTTAAAAACTAGTACAAACACATATATGAAAACTATATATTTATTCTCTCTCTCTCTCTCTCTCTCTCTCTCTCTCTCTCTCTCTCTTCTCTCTCTCTCTCGTGTACCTCCTCCCTACAATAGAGATCTGCAGGGAAAAGTCACCTTTGCCTATTGAAAGAGCTCTCAAAGAATTCAGACCATTATTTGTAGCACCAGTCCAGTGAAAGATATAGTCATTATTTGTAGCACCAGTCCAGTGAAAGATATAGTTAACAGTCACAACATACTTTTATGGACTCTGACACAAGGCAAGCCACACAAACCTGCACATACGAGGGTGATTTAGAAGGCAGGTAGACTCTGATTAACTTTAAACTCCAGACATGAAAATGAAAAATGAAACATAAATGATAGCCTTTCTATTTTTAGCTCAACTGTTAAAAAGCCAATTATCTACCTGTGAACGAATGTCACACACAAGACTTTGAAGACACTTCTTCATAGAAGTGAGAAAGTAAGCCGCTGTTTCCAACCGTCATTGCCTCTGTGAAATTGCTATTAAAACAGAAACCTGAAAGGCATGAATGATCCTGGGCTCTGAGGCAACACTGTGATCAAGGAAGACCTGGGCACGAGTTGGCTGAAGACCGTCTTGCGGAGTCCTCCGTGCTCACCGAGTGGGAGGGTCACACTGGAGGGACGAATAAGGGCAGAGATGCGTCCCGCTTCCCCACTCGCTGGGAGCTGGCGCGGGCCACTCGGCGGCGGTGCGGCGGCGCTGTCCGGACTCCCCCGCGCCTCCGAAGGGCTGGAGCACCGATCCAAGGTAAGCTGCGCAGCTCTGCCCCTCAGCTTGGTGTCGCTCACACATGCCGGGGCTGTGTCTTTTGCTCATGTTTCTCTGGTCATTTGCCTGCATTTGCTTTTCAAGAAAATATCCAAAAGGTGCTGCCATGTGCCTGTGTTTCGGGGATAAATCTGCCCACCTGCAGTTACGCATTCCCACGCGGAGCCGAGGAGACCCCACGCGTTTCCTACGCTACCTAGAATACGCTATGTAGTTCGTGTTCGTGTGTCCACGCCACGCAGGCTTGTGCGTTCCACTTGAGTTCTGGGTGGGTTTTCTGGGTGGGTTTGGAAAGCAGAACAGTGAGCGATGCTGATGCGGGGAAGCGACATGAAATACGGAAGAAGGTTCCCAGGGGTCAAGGCACAGACGCAGCTCAGAGTTCCTGCGGGCTGTAGCTAGGATGCTGCTGTGCGGGCAAGCGCCGGAGCTCAGAGCTAGTCCCCGGCCCGAGCTACCCACTGCGACGCGCGCGGGATCCCGACGCCGGAGCTGCTGCTCCCTGCGCCTCCCTCGCCCTGCAGCGTGCGCCACCGCCGTCCCCGCCGTCCTCACTGCCGCGGCGGCGGGGACGTCCGGGTCCCGGCGCTGGAGGACGCCGCTCCGCCTCCGCCAGCGCTGCGGGAATACGGCCGCCACCTCCTCCACAGCAGTCGGGAGGAGGGAGGCAGTGCCGCACGGACCCGGTCCCGAAGAAGTTTGTTGGCCTGGAACCAAGTGCTCCACCCCGCACTCTACCTCGTTTAAAGCTGGCGGACGAGGAAGCTAAACCCAAGGGTGTAGGTCACGGGAGGGAGGGGGTGGCGGGCGGGGGGGCTGGAACCCGGCGACCCGGTGCGCAAGTGACCCAAAGGGGCTCCACTGCATGGGAGGCAAAGGGGAACGCTTTGTGGGTCTGGGGACAGTGGCCTTGGGAACCAAAGGGATAGGACCCAAATACTGAAAAGTCATATATTTAATATAACGGAATTGCAGCTGTGGGTGATGTGAGACCCAGCTTGTGGCTGGGAAATAGAGGGTAATGGGAATAAATGTGATACCAGCTCACAACCCACCCCCAATTTTGAGACTATTTAGTCTCAACTTCTCCTTGAAGAGGTCTGAGGAGCAAATAAAAGTGAGGTTGTGGGGAATTTACATCTGCCTACACCCTCCCAGTGCCCTAGAAAGCTTGCTAACGAAGGACACCCAACAGTCCTACACAAATCTAGAACTAATGTCCTTTATGAAGTGAGAGAGACCCTTGCTGATGAAGGCGATCTTTCAGGATCTCTTATCTGGTAGGTGAGCAAAGCCTTCAAGGCCTTTTCTAGTTAGAGAGCTTTTCACTATGAATCTGTAAAAAGGAACTGGGACGCCTACGTGTTTTCATGGTACAAAATGCAAAGGTCCAGCCCTGAGAAGGTCGGACAAAATTTTCTGATAGGAGTAATTCTTTAGGGCAGAAAGAGGAAGTAGCCTGCAGAGGTCGCAAACACATTCACTACATAAGAGAAAATGTAGCAAGAAACTGGGAGGTGCTTCTGTGAGGTTTATACTAGGCTGATTTCTCAAAGCGTTAAGAAACCCAAGTGAGCCGGGAGTGGTGGCATACACCTTTAATTCCAGCACTTGGAAGGCAGAGGCAGGAGGATCTCTGTGAGTTCAAGGCTAGCCTGGTCTACATGGTGAGTGCCAGCTGGGGCTACAGGGAGAACCTGTCTCAAAAAAAAAAAAAAAAAAAAAGAAAAGAAACCCAAGTGAGACATCCTTGGGAGAAAAGTTGTGGCAATAAAAGTGGAGAGCAAGCTCCATGTGGGCAGGGGAGACGAATATCAAGAGGGAGAGAGGAAAGTCCAATGTGGCTGTTTGTATCTGAAACATTGTTATCCAAGAAAACTTCCAAAATAGACGGAAGCATATGGCATCATCCTCCAGTAATGCAACGTTTCCATCTCTTTCTGATTCTGCAATTTAATCTATTCTGCTGAAAATTTAATTCATTTTCTGAGGCAGAAGAAATGGGTAATGGGTCCTGAGCGGATGGTTCTAGAAACAGATCTCGATTTTAAAAAACAAACAAAAAAACATGGGAATGTGACTAACTGGCAACATAAGTGGAAATTCAAATAATGAATGAGAAATAAGGATAAGAAATAAGAAATAAGATTTAGGGCTATAGAGATGCTGATAGCTCTGAAAAGATGCTGGTGTGGGGGGAATGGAATGAATGGGGTGAGTTGAATTACTGGAGGCAGGCCAAGTTGAGAATGAGGATCTCAAACAGGCAGAGAATACTGAGAAAGAGAGCAAGCAGGGAAGACATTCCAGCCAGAGGGAATGGCATGTGTGAAGGCTTAAAAGTCGGGGTGAGTGGTCTTGTGCCTATAAGACAGAAAGTCCAAGCTAGATTGAAACCTAAGATGAGGAGAATAGATCACACCTGCCAAGGAGAGACTCCAAAGGGGCCTGAGAGGCAGTGGGCTCTTTAGGCTGTGGTGGTGTTCGCCAACTGTAAGACAATCAGGTAAGGAAATTGTATACGGAATTTGATCGAAGAACAGTGAATGCAAGAATAGATCCATAAGCCTCAGTTATCCATGTGTAGGTTGTGAATTGGAAACTTCCCTCCCCTTTGTGAGAAATCAAAGAAAATCCTGCAATTGTAAGAATATAGTACCAGAAAGTCAACAGAGCCATTCTGATGGCAAGGTGTATGAATAGGAAAAATATACACATTTACCAATATGAAACTCTAAGAAACATTGTACCACACTCAAGAATATATCTATGAAAACAGAATCAGGTTATAATCTGAAAACAGCGTAGAGCAGCTGTGGTTGTTGAAGTCGATACTGGTATCTGAATAGTTAGTGAAGACAACTGTCACTCAAAGAAGTATGTCAGTGAAGCAGACACATTGTCAAGAGAGAGGGAGATGTTTAAGTATGTCTAAATGGAACCTGAGGTGTGGAGCCTCTGGGAAGTGAACACTACTTTTGAGATGAAAGGAGAAATTGTATAGAACTGTGAAGTATTCTAATGAATCAGTCAGTTTTAGAGTCATACAAATGTTAGCAGTCAGGGAATATGCTTTCTGTGGAGGCAGAGACTGACTTCAATAGAGTTTATTTATTTATTTATTTATTTATTTATCTATCTATCTATTTACTTATTATTGCTATTATTTTTGAGACAGTGTTTCCCTGTAGCCCCAGCTGGCCTGGAACTCTCTATGTAGATCAGCATGACTTCAGTCTCACAGAGATCAACCTGTCTCTGCCTCCTGAATTTTGGGATCAAAAGTGTGTGCCACCACAGTTGACAAATAATTATTTTTAATAACTACACTCACTGAAACTTCCTTAATGTTGTTTCTATATTTCCCCACCATTCTTCATTTCACATGTATCCTTCTACAAATGTTAAGTAGTCCAGGTCTCACTAATAGTTCTCAGTATTTGTTTAGTTCTTGTCTAAAATTATGCCTTAAACCATATTCCACCTACAAACTGATTGCATAGCTACATCCTAAATGCCAGGCTTAAAGAAAATACAGTCTTTCGTTTTTTGTTAAGAGGTTTGGTAAAGAGTGGAGACAGAATACAAGTGAGTTATTACAGTATAGTATGGACTATTGAAGGAGAGAATGGTGGGACTCTGTGGGCTTAGAAGGCAGTGGAGAAGGAACCATGTCCTGGATGGCATGCCCATGTTTCACAGAGGACATGGCATTTGTGAAGGAAGAATAGGAGTTCCCAGATGGTGAGATATTGGAGGGACAGCCTATTAGGATTAAAAAAAAAAAGTTCATGCTTAGAGGCTGGAGTTGCGATTCAGAGGTAGAGTGTACTTGGCATGCACAAGGCCCTCATTTGATTCCCAGAATTCCCCCCATAAAAAAGAAATAAGTCATGCATGGTTTTTGAGGTATTCGTAATAGGAGTCATTTGTTTGGAAAGCAGGTAGCACAACATAGGGCTAGTGAGATGAGACTCCACTGTAACAGAGCCTTGAATCCCTTGCTTCAGAATAGGCTATAAAAGCTACCAGAAGATGTTTAGGAAAGCCCCAACCTGATGGATTTGTTTTAGAAATTGAATTCTTAGCCATGTCTGGTAGTACTTACTGTAATCCCAGTATTCCACTAGGACTGCTAAGACAGGATGATCACCAACTTAAAGTTAGTCTGTGCTACCTAACAAATCAGGAGGGAGGGGGAGAGGGAGAGGGAATCGATTTTCAGCAATTAGGAAATGGAAACTGGGGAAGGAAGAGGGGAGAAAGGGGTCTGGTGAGGAATCTGTTGCAATTTGCAAGACTAAAAATGGCCACAAAGTGAGTGAATACTTTCTGTGGAGAGAAAGTTTTCATGGATTCAAAAGACATGTTTTACAAGTAGATTTGTCAGACTTCATTACAGATCTGCTATGCAGAGGGAGTAAAGGAGAAATTAAAGATGATTTTGAAACTTCTTGTGTTTGTGTTCCTACTTTAACGATGATGTTTGTCACTAAAATATGAAGGTAAAGTGGTTTCTGCACAATCTAAATAGGGTAGAAACCCTGTTTAATTTGCAAATTTACTCTTCAGACATTTCAATTTCATTAATCAGATCAATGATAAGATTATAAACTAATGTCTCATCTAGACCTAAACAGTTGTACTTGATTATTCCTTAGGATTTTAGCTCTGTGTGATAGCTTCTCAGCTGGCTTTTTTCTCCTCATGAACAATAGATTCTCAAGACTGACAAAGGAACAGATGTGTGACACCTGTTGTTTTGCTTATTTACACAATGCCTCACTTCATAACAGCATAAGCAGGCTTTCCTGCTTGGGTTATGTATAGGCACACTGAGGCGTAGTCAAGGAAGTTTGATTTAAACATCTATCATCTCCCCTATTACACCACATTCTCTCTATAAAGAATGTTCTGAAAATGTGGCTTTTCTCCTCACTTCATAACAGCATAAGCAGGCTTTCCTGCTTGGGTCATGT